CGTTGGTAGCCAGGCTCTCCCTTTTAAGTTTTGCTTACACTGCACTAATACTCTCAGGAAAAAAAACACAGGGAAGGTCAGATGGGCTGGAAAAAGAAAAGATAAGAGAACACATGCTTCCTCTTCTGTGTGACTCCTCACGTGCTGTATCTATTGCCACAAGCTCGCAAGGGCAGGGTGAAAGTTGGGAGATGGGAGAAAGGCTGAGGAAGATCTGCATGTGGATTCCAGTCTCTCATCCTGTCCTTTTGCTCTTGCTTCCTAGTCCACATAGCAATCACAACACTGTGTTGTTTGGTACAGGCTCCTTCCATGGCCAATGTCTATCTCAGCATGGACTTACTGATTCCGCCCAGAACATCTGAATATCCCTGATTAAAGAGCTATTGCAGCTATCCCTCCTCCTCAACTCACACATCTTTAAGACGATCTTTAAGAAAAGATACTCTCAAACAGCTTTTAAAAAGGAGCTATTTGCTTCGTAATTGGGCCATCGAAAGCCCATACCATGTTGCCCAGACCATTCATTCTTCGTATTTGTGCTTCAATCAGATTTTTGATAGGCAATTTATCTGAAATAATCTGAAATATCCTTGACTGTTGTTCCAGGTGAAAACAGTGTGTCCTACATTGAGTCAAATTTTGTATTCAATGTCTGAAATATGTGACAGGTATTGTGCCTTGCCAAGAACAATGATAAGGCTGAAAGCCTGGAGGCTTCACCATAGACAGTGGATTTGTCATTTCTTTTGCTTGTTTTTACTTTTGAGGCTTTACCAGAAACATGCTCAAAACCCAGGAGATTCTGAGGTTACATACTACCCAAGGCCTCCAAAAGGGGCCCTGTCACTGAAACATTAAAATTAAATAGGTTCAGAAAGGAAAGAAAAAAAAAAAATCAAACCAGTTTTACAGAACTGCTTCATAGTGTGCTGCCTAGCAGGGTCCATCCTCCCTTAAGCAGCTCTAAAGATGAAAAGTAGAATCCTGTGACAGATCCTGCAATGAACTCGGGTAAATCAGCTTTGTCTCTCTACTGTCTCTTAGAATATAATTAACATTGAATGACAGGAAATATTTACATACCGGTGAATGGAAAAATAAGAAAAGGATATTGATGATTGCAAAAATTGATTATTTGAAAGTGGCAGCAACATTATAAATATGATTTTAGTATGATGTGAACTGCAAGCACTTGATACAGTGGGGATAATATATAGACTTTCCTCATTCTGTACTATGCACGTCACTAAGACCAATGGAAGTCACATACATATACCAAGGAAACCATAATATGTAGAATTATTTATGGAATAGCCGCTTTACATACACATCAGCTGCAGCATCATAATGGCTAGGGTTACACTCAGAAGACAAAACCATATATTATATATTGTAAGTGATAGAGCTTGAATTCCCATCATCATTTCACCACATTTTTCATAAACTAAAGGGACAACTAATGGAAGAATTGTTGCATTGCCTTTTTTTTTTTTTTTTAAAGAAGCAATAAACATCATATAGTTTATCACTACAAGACACTGATTCCACTGAAAAAATAAGTCATTAAACAACAACTACTGGCAGTATTTTCCAAAACACTGCTGTGCAATGCACATTGAAGCAAACAAACTGAAATATCTGAAATTGCCTCTGGTTTGCTCAAAATTCTAGGGACATCAGAGAAGCTGAAGAGCAGCAGCATGCAGAAGTCCAGCATCTCCAAACTTGTGGTGGCAAGAAAGCACGAACCCATGAGCACATGCTTCCCTTTTACAACAGCCACCAAAGCTGTGTCAGCACTGGCAGGAAAAGAAAAAGCTTTACAGCTACACAGGCACCTTCATAATTTTCATATCTCAAAATTATGGCATTTCCAATACAGGCTGCTTTTGAATCGCCATTTACTTTTACAACTCACTTTGTTTCACAGTACTCCCCATCTCCTACAGTTAACTCTCAAAAAGAAGCCTTTCAAAGATCAATCCAGTCTGTTAAGATTCTGGATGTTAAAATTGAATTTTTCTTGTCTACTTGTTCTTTTGAAAGGCTTAAAAGTGATTTGTGGCAATCAGCATAAAGGGATTTGATTGACAGAGTTTAACCAAGTGATCTAGAGAAGATTCATCAGGGGAAAATTGCTAAAATTATAAATTAAACGGCAAACAGAGTTTTTCTCTGTCTGCTTTTAAAACAAGATAGGTTCTTTTAGACGTGAAAATCATTCTAAAAGCTTCTACAAGTAGTCAATGAAAAGCTTAGAAATGCACAGCATAATCTTTCAAATAATACTCTGCAATAGTAATCAAATAAAAAGAAAGGGTAAAAGGGCAAGCATCACAATGACTACCAAACAAGTCTGTTGACCTCATTCACACAAACCTCAAAAATGTGGCTGCCAAACTTCCCTCAAGTAAAATATAGGAGATTTAGTTGAAACACCGTTATATCTCTGCCTGGGGAAATTATGGCTTTTTTCCCCTCCCTTTTGCCTGGCTGTTCTTTCCTTCCCAGCTTGCTCTCTCAAATTGCCTTTCTCTGCAATTCACCTTTCTCCACCTGCTTACAAGAAGAGAGCCCAGCAGAAGGGTCCTTGCCACACTACCTAGTCAGTGGTGGAGAGGGAGGAAAGCCTGCGTTGCTTCCAGCGCCACTCCATAAGCACTCCAGCAACAGATGGCTGGTGGGAAGGGAGAAACAGTCCCTGCTGAATGTCTGTGGCACCCAAAGATACAAAAAAAAAAAAGTACCCAAAGACAGCTCTTAAAACTGTCTGACCAACTCTCAATGGAAGTACCACAGAGTTAAATACTATGTATCCCCATTTGACATTTCTATTCTTCTGTTCTGAATTTTTGGGCTTTAATTCACCAGCTCATGAGAAAAAAAAAAAGTTAGCCGCTTTTTTTTTTTTTTTTAAACCTCCAGTTGTGTGGACAGTGTTATACAGATTAGAAACTAGCACAGGCAAAAGATCTATTTGTTTATTATTCTGATGGTGCAGGTTATTTTGTAGGCTTCTGCCACTACGTGCAAGGCCCTTGCTTGAAGTCCCAGACAATCCTACCACTCAAGTCAAAATTATTACCTTCCATCTAACATAGCAACTACTTCAGTTCAACGCTGTTTCAAATTCATTTACAGGGTATTAGCAGGATGAGGCTTTTCTCTGTTTAAAGCTACAGCAAAACCATAGAATTAACATTTTTGTGATAGTGCTTCAACCTCATATACCCATCTGCTCATTTTTTTATGTTTTCTCCAGATTTCCTGGGCTTTTCACCATCCTTTTGTGACTCCAATTTATTGTTACCTGCAAATATAACTAATACGTTAATCTTCTCAGCCTTCAGATCAGTTCTGTGATACAAAAGCACTCAAAGTCGTTTACATTTCAGTCTACAAAAGCCTACTATGCTTTTGTACAAGTTAGTTTGTATAGATATCAGGCCTTTTTTTTTTTTTTTGAAATCGGGTTTATATATGTGAATTTTTTCCAATCTACTACTCAATGCTATTCTAACATAATAATGATTTTATATAATTAGTTTGCTTGTATCTGGTAATTTACTGTAGCTTGCACACTTTTGTATTTATTGGAGACATAAAAGAAAAAAACATATTTGAAATGCCAACACAAATGAAATTTAACACAGAGAACGCAGAAATTTTTCATTAATGATAAAACATGTAGTTATGAAAGACTGCACACAAGTCATTCACTCACTGAAATACTGCAGAGACTAAGGGATTTATGCAAGCTAATGATACCTACAAAACGATACACCTCAGTTTAATACATCACACTACGCTAGCGCCTTGCAAACCAACTCTACATTAAGCTGTCTCGGTCCTCTGCTCAATTACTCTTTGCAAACATGACCTTTTTTCTTTAGAATACCTATCTTTGCCAAAAGACAAAAGGAGCCTACATGTGTAAACCTACAGTATTAATCTAGGCATTAAACACCTAATCTGACAATACTAAATACTGAGGTCAAGAATTATCTATTACACACTTTAAACACGATCATTTACTTAAATATGATCTTTGCAAATCCAACATACAAACAATTTGTGTTTCACATAAGTGCAAGATGATTCAGTTACTTCTTTGCAGGCTGACCAGAATATTTTCTATTAGTTTTGCAATGACGTTCATTATATATTATTTGAATGTTGTGGGTACATTTTTTTAAACTCTTATAAAAAATAAAATGCAGTACTCATTAAAGCCAATGATGAAAGTTTCTTTAGAGAATATGGCATCTGGATTCATTTTATGATCAAAACTTGTGTGCTCAGTGTTTTTTTTAATTCATCAAAGACTCAGATAAACAGAAATCTTTACATCTTTTACCTACACATTCCTGATTACATCAGCCTCAATTTCTGCATAGTTGTAATTTAGAATGATTTTTTTTTTTTTTTTTTAAGCACAGTAATGATTTTATCAGATATTAGTGGCAACCACCATTGGTCCAAACCTACTTGGGTGTTTCTTTTATTTTTAGTAACTTGAGCTAATGAGAATTGCCATGTGTGACAAATGCTTACTCTGCTTCCACAATATTTCTCTAAATTTTATACAAATGATTTAATGAGTGTGTAAACATCTTAAAAAAATCTTAAAACAGAAAATAACATTTTTTTTTTTTTTTTAAATACGGTCATAGAATGTTGTTAAAATTTTAAGCCTTATGAAAGCCTAAGAATTTGTTAAAATAACTGCTGTTTACCTTGGTCAAATTCTACAGTCAGTGAAGTGACACTCACAAAGTTTCACATAGCTATCTCAGAAACTGTTAATTAGTGATAAAACACACAGTTGCAAAGATCTTGCGTGCAAAAGTGACTTACCAGCTGGCATGCTGCTGGTCAGTTCCCTGCTAAATCAGGACTGGGGCCTATCGTGCATTTGCAACTGGCTTTAGACCTTTCTGTACCGTAGTTCCTGGCTTAGCTCAAAATGCAAGGGACATGCAATAATCTCCACGTACCTTCTCATACAGTCCAGTGCCCGAATAAAGAAGTCTTTGTGAAGCTGATGCTCGTCTCTCAAGATGGAGCACTGCTCCAGCGTCACTGACATGGATGTCCGGTCTTTGGCACTTTTGCAACAGGTGAAACGGACTCCATTCAGCTTACGGCAAATCTGAAACACAGGCAGATGTTAAAGGACTACCCTTTTCACACCTTGTGTTCTCTACACGCTAGGCAGACTGTGAAACTCCCACAATTTTGCAATCACAGACAATGAATACAGAGAACTACAGTATTTCTCAAGAAGAAAATAGCTATTAAAAGGTAGCAACTCCAACCCGAAAGATACGGCTGCTGACGTATCTTTGCAATTAAATCAGTTATTAGCGCTGCCTCGGGGATTTTCATATTCTAAGGATTATGCCCGCGCTGGCCTGACACAGTGCCACAAAAGGTGAAAATGTTGTGCTGAAAAGTACTGTAAATTTATCTTTTGGTTATACATTTGCAGCATTAACACTCTACAAAAACAGCACCAAAAGATTACAGCTACTGATCTGTAGCCCATTTCCAATTTGTCCAAGTGACACATTTTGAAAGCAGATCTTCAGGGCTTTCATTAGCAGGACAAGCCTACAAATAACCTGCCCACTGAGGAAAAAGGAGCCCTTAATGATTTTGAGAGAGTTGCACACAATGTTGTCCTGCAGTCGCAATCAAGACTTTCTCTTGCTTACCCCAACACCCCTGCAAGTGAAGAAAGGAACTGACGGTGGACCCAACAAAAAAAATAATCTACTATTCTTAGTCCTAAGAAATTTAAGCAAGTCACTAAAATGTCTACATGTACTACAGCTTACCAAACCATTGCATCCAATTTCCTGAACTTGAAATAAAAAGTATTTGTGTTAGCCTAGACTATAAAAGGAAAAGTTGCTTCATTTTTTCCCCTCACTTTGTGAGAATCACCCTATTCAATTAAAACTTAATTGTCTGAACACCCAATGACTGTTGAAAAAAAAAAAAGGAAAAAGAAAAAAAAAAGACTTGTCAAAGTTTTTCACCTCGGACTCATGAATGTAGAGGACTAACTCCTCATGATGGTATGGATTTGGACACATCTATTGATGTACTGAATTTAAACATAGTCTTTACTTTCAACAGGTAAACTGTTCAATGCGTGACCCAGAAAAAATAAATCTTAACACAAATGACTGCCATGGAGTGTGGATTATAAGGGATAAGGGAACCATGGCATATTTTTAAAGATAATTTCTCACCTTAAGGATCAATTTGACATTGTACCAGCACATTAGTTTATGCTTTGGGTTCAAACAATATTTTAATAGAAAAACAAAAATTTGAAGGAGAGCTGCTGTGTCCAAGCATGCATCTGCCTTTCCCCTGATCTACATTGTCCTAAGAAAAGGTAATACTCTCTGCCCAGCTTTGCTTGCTCCTATCCCTGGACAATCATAGCTATAACAGTATCAGAAAAGGAAATACGTATGAGAATAGGGCAAGGTAATAAATTACAGTAGTTAGGCTCATACTAAGGAACTTCTTAGCTTGGCTATCAAGTGTTTACTTGGGATCTTGCAGGATGAAACTGGAACATGATCTTCATAATCTCACTTCAGCAAATAAGCAATTTTTTAATCCATTTACTGCATTCACAGAAATTCTTTTAAAATCAATGGCTCAGACAACACTTACAGTCTTTAAGGTCTTTCCAATATTGTGGTAAGGGAAATCTCAAAAGTTGAATCCAGGGAATTAATTAATTGAAACTAACTTTGAACCCAAGAAGTACAGGCTAGTAAAAGAGAACCTGTGAGTGTTTCTTCCCTCCTATAATTCAAAATTTTAAAACTTAAATCTGTTTAGAAATTCAGAAAGTTGCATAGGGATTTAAATAAAGTACTATAAGACAATTTTTAAAAAGAAAGTATCAAGCAGGTCTGATAATGCTGTGAAAGAAATTAACCGCTTAATGGAAGAGATTAATTCTCTTTACACTAGTCTCTTTTGAAGTCCATGAGTCATTGTGACTATTCGAAGTGAATAAGTCATAAGAAAAAAAACCAGGTAACTATTTCTGGATGAGTGATGGCCTCTGATGTGGGGAGGGGAGACTAAATCCCAAATCTGGGCTGACAGCATACATATAAAGTACTGGCTAGTAAGAGTCAGCTTTGAACTGAGAAGCATTCTAGGCACAACAAGCGAATTACCATAACCACAAGCTTATTTTGCACTGAAGTTCAGTACAAAAGCCTCAATCATTTTAAAGTGGATTAAATAGAAGACAATCTGTTAACTTTAAACAAATTTTAAAAAATCCTTAGATTCTGATATAAGAAGAAACGTAGGTTAACCTGATAGGCCAGCCCAGATAAATCCTCAGAACGACTCTGTTCACTAAGCAAAACAAAGTAAACAATTAAAATGGGCAAACACAATGATCTGATGCTCCAGAAATCTAATAAGGGACAACACCAAATATATTACAATATCATCATTTCGGAACACACAGCTTATGATTAGTGTCCAGCCTGAATTTTACCCTCAATTTTGCTCACTTCTTCCCCAAATATATTGAAGATACAGGAGGAGGAGAAATAGACTTAACATTTATTAGAGCTTTAGAAAGTATCCCTTACAAGCACAGATTTAAATGATTAGGATTGTGATTAAGTTTAAAGAGGGGATGGTAAAAGCATATAAAACCATGAAGACTAAACCAAGGATAAATCAGTACTCTGATTATTTTTCCTGATATAAGACAGAAGATGAAGGGTGCAGTTAGGAAATAAAAAGATACAACATTTAAATCTCTGGCCCATAATATTTAGCATAGAAATATATGTGATACCAATTTGCAAAAGTTGACTTTTAAAATGCGGATGTATTCTCACAGACCCATTACAACAGGGATTACATGCAGGTGCAGATACATATGCATATCCATGTAGAATCTCATACATCTACTGCAATTCCTTACAGCAGGGAATCATGCCTTTCCAATAAATAAATGCAACATAGTATAACAATGTGTATGTAGATCAATGGGTCCAAAACCACTCATTTCATAAGGATACAGTCAGGTTATGTAAAGAGAAACAGAATACAGTGAGGGAAAAATCTGAAACCGTTTGTATGTCCAAAGAATGTTTTTTACCCATGAAATTATTTATTTACAGGGAATCCTGAATAGATAGTAGAAGACAACTGTCTATATCCAAAGATTAAGTAAATTCTGTCATATTCTTTGTAGCTCATTTTACACTATCCTGTACTGATTTATCTTTTACTTCTTTAAAAAGCAATGTTTCATCGGAATTGCAGAACTGGTACTGCAAGAAAAGCTTATATTTTTACTCATAACAGATTTATACTGCAATAGTATGTGATAATATTTATTAACCACAAGGCAAAATGTTATTAGCACTATAAAAAATTACAGCAATGTTATTAATACAAAGACATAGTTAACATTGTCTTGTTCCTGGTGTTAATGAAAAGTCATGGAAAATTTTATTAATATTTTTGTATCAAATATTTATTTGCCTTGAAGGTTATATGCATTCGGAAGTTCCCCAAAACACAAGGTCTTGCTTTGATTTCAGTAGATAAAGACTCAAGTCTCTGCTTGTATAAATGGGCAGAGATACCATGGGTACTTTTCTAAATGTAAGACAATTACCTGGTTGAATTTCACATTCCTGAAAAGCTTGAGCTCTTTATAAACATCTAAGGGTTGTTTTGGTTTGGGTTTTTTTGTTTTTTTTTTTTTTAACATTTATCTGCAAAAACCACAGAATTGGGAAACAAAAAGGAATTATGTGAATAAAGCCAAGTAAGTATTATTCATTGTTTGATAAACATTTTTGTGTTCTTCCTGTGTCTGAATGTCTGCCCTTTGCGTATCTAGCTTATTCTGTGTTGCTCTTGGTGCCCTTGGAGAGGCTGTCATGGTGACACTAGCTTAAAAAAAAAAAAAAAAAAATCATAAAATGTGATTGACTGAAAGTTGTACTGATACAATTAAACACTTATTTATAAATAAGTATCTTAATTACAGAAAACCAAAAGCTGAGTGCAGCAATATTAAACAAAAGCCAGAGCAAGTAATCATGTCCTGCATCATACCTCAATGCTTATGGACACTAAACAATAAAGGGAAGATATTTTGAATAACCATGGATACGATTTTAAAGAAAAAAACCTAGATACTGTAGCTGAATACTGTATTGCCTCTCTCATATGAGGTGATATATTTACAGCTATGCATGATCATCCAAAGAATTGATTCTGCCCATACTGGGGATGAAGGGATTCCTCTGCCTAAAACCAGACTCAGTTAGTTAAAGAAAAAACATTCCCCAAACAAAAAGCAAACCTCTTTTACCCTGTTACACAACTCACTGAGATAAATGAAAAATGCTGCATCTGGGACAAAACAACCGCAAGCGGCAGCACAGGCTGCAGACTACCTGGCTAGGAGAAGGTCTGCAGAAAAGGGCCTGGAGGATGTAGGGGACAACAAAGTGACCAAGACTATCTCTCACTTGAATTCTAGCCAGTTCTACCAGCTAGGAAAGTGAGAGAAAGAAAATATCTCTAATTTAAATGTAAGAAGAGGAGATATATTCATGAGTGGCATGAGAGACCATTAGAATGGAAATGTTAGAGAGCCATTTCAGCATATCCACCTACTTTAATAATTCAGTTTTCCAATCATATCCTTAAAATCCATTGCACTTAGAGTATTGGCAGGCATGTGAAAATTAGTTCATCATGCAAACATACTTGAAGCAAGAGAGCTTACCGTCGCAGCCAGCCACATGATTTCTACATTCTTTCTCTTTTTGGCCTGGATATTTTGATGGAGATTTTCTAGCAATCCCTTTAAATCATTTTGTTCTTGAAAATGTGGTAGACCTGGAAAAAAGGATGATAAGGTTGCTCATTATGACAAGGTTGATGATAGGGTTGCGCTGACTAAAGAATGCCCATATTAAGTAACAGGTCTATTATTCACAGCCTTATTTGGAAATACAGGATGGAAAGCACCAGCTAAATATTTAGGAAATAAGCAAACCTTATTTCTTTCTATGTATTGGGTTGTCCTCCTTAAGATTTTCACCATGGAAAATTAAAGTGTCTTCAACTTTTATCTTATAAATGGATGGTGAAAAGATTGAAATATCTGCTGTAGTTCTGTTCCTCAACTATTACAGACGTTCAATGGAAATGAGTAGAGAAATAACTGAGTGTATTAGTGCTATGATAGGGTGATTTTTTTTTATTTTTAAGTCAAAATATTTTGCTTTTGTTTTCAAAATGGAACATCTCATTTTTGTTTTAAAATGATGCTTTAGTTCCTAATATAACATAACAGGAAGGTTAAACAGCAATATATACCCCCCAAAAAATCTAGCAAAGGATATTTCTCAGTCTGAAATTAAACGGAACTTTAATTTTGAAATACAAAATAATTTCAGGTTTACTTAAAATCCAGAATTTTACCTACTTGCCCTAGGTACGGCAGCTGAGCTGAAGTTTTATTAATCATAGATGTCTAGAGGGAATTCAAGAGTAGGCAATTTAATTTGGTCTTCTGTTTTCTGTGTATATGTAGGAGAGTTTTGTTCTAATGTTGCCTTTATCTTCATTAGTTTTGAAAAATCGGTAGAAATAACCAAAATCCATTTTTTGAAATGATTTCTTCTTGTGGTAGTGAAGTAAAAAGAAATCTAATAATAGTTATCACCAAAGAAAGGCTCAGAACCAGTTGAAACAAAATTAAACCAAATCGGTAAATTGCTACATTTTTTTCAACAAGAAAAAGTAGGGTGTTCCATCCAGTAGGGAAAAAACCCCAACCCAAACCCAAAACCTGAGATTTATATTTGATTCAAAGGGTAAAAATGAGGCAACTACTAATGCAGGTCAAAATCCATTCTCCTAACCTGATCACAGTTGGAATGATCCCTCTTATCAACAGGCTTTTACCTTTTATCTCTAATGAATTCTGTAGCTTACCCATGATTCATAGTAAGAAGTAATTTAAATATACTCAAAAAGAGCTATTCTAAAAGTGTCTAAGTTTCCTTACTCATACCGTGCTGCCAAAAAGAAAAAAAAAATGCAGAAAAAGTATATTGAAACTAGTTTTGTAATAATCTTAATGAGGATTGTTTTCTCTGTGTATTACAATTCCTGAGCATACAATTAGATAATGCAGAGAGTATAAAAATACATCACAACCTGCTAGATTATTATACTTATCCTGCATCCTTTTCTTTAAAACACATAGGCATACTCTAAAAAGATGCTTCCAGATTATGAGAATGTATCACTAGGTAAACATTTTATTGCTTCAAAGCAGTTTTCCTTTGGTTCGCAGCAGAAAATGCATCATCTCCGAGAGATGACTTCACCATAGGTAAAGCAAGATTCTTCTAATTTATAATATTGCCAAAGGACCTGCATCTTGACTGGATGTGATCGATTGCTTAAATTCCTCGTGTCACAAAGCAGTATTAAACTGTCAAATCATTCTCATAGATTATAAGGGGGAGAAGCCTGGAAGTACAAAACAGACTCATAGACTTTATGTTGAAAATACATGTACTGCTACACGCGTTATGATGCTATGGAAGAAAATCTTTATTTGCCTGCAGGATTTCTAAACCTTGCACACATCCCTCTTCTCACATGGGGACAATACTTTGCAGCACTGATGTTGCTGTGGGTGTTAGGTATCAAGCCACTAACACCGAGTATCACTTGCAACAGATTTCTCTGATTTTGTGCTTTCAGCTGTTGAAATTGAGTTCTAAGCCATTCTTTTCAATAATTATGTACTACTAAACAACAATCATACATTTTTGTACCCTTATTCTCATTAGCTATTCTATAAAATTCTATTAAAAATATATATAAAATATAGCTATTCTATAAAAACAGTGCTATTTTGGTGCCTAAACCAGAACTACACTTGGTTGGCATTTTTGGTAGGAATCTTTCTGGAAGCACATTGTTATTTATTGTTTTTAGAGTTTCCTATTAGAGAATTAAAGAGATTAAGAAACAGGAGAGAGACAGAGTGCATGTTCATCTAAAAGAAGATAGAAAGTCAGTGTTTGGCATATGCAGCTACATGCAGCTGAAGACTTTTAATAATTGGGAATAGAGAGAAAACTAGATTATTATTGGCAATGGCAATTACAGAGATGACAGAAAAACTAATAGCAAAGGTGGCAATACCTTTATGGGAGTGGAAAATGGGATTCTTTGAAATGGGATATACGAATGAAGCAGCAGGCAAGTGAGGCTTCCTAAGGATGGTGGATGCAACACCCTGGCCAACAAGGCTGCGAGTCCTCAAATTCTGTCTGGCTTTATGAGCACCATTTGTAACTAACAGCTTTGTGAACTGGGTCCTGCATTTATTTTGTAGCACAGATTTGGCACTACAGGAAACTATCTGGAAAGGTGTGACAAAACCATCAAGGAGCCATCAATACTGAATGGCTCTCACTTGGCTGCAACACCAGGGCTGCTGCCAGCTTGGATGGAAGTTTATCTTCCTAAGTGCTTGAGCACAGAGGTGGGGGAACAGGGGAGGAACTGAAGTTTTCCCCCAGCTGAACAACTTTGAGAGCTTGACTTCCTTCCAGGGAGCTGGTTTAAAAGGCACATTCCTCTAAGCCAAAAGAGTGATTTCGTATAATGGCAGGGAGCTACTGGGAAGGGCAATGGAACCAGAAGGTGCTTTGCATTCTGTGAAAATTTGGACAAAGAACAGACTCAGATCTTAGCGGTAGATAAGAAGCAAGAAGGTAATAATAACCAGAAAAGACAGGTTGAATTAGACAAGAGTAGTTCTCAAAAGCCTGCAGAGTCTGGAAGAAGTCCAGGAAGACCGTGTGGCTCACTAAGAATCCTTCTGCAGGAAGACAGTGCAAGGTTGGTTTCTGTTAATGAAAAGCAACCAATACTATCTGCATGCAAATTTTTGCTTTTATATAATCAGATCCATTTATGAGGTAGGAGATCTACCTTAGACTTAACCCAAGACAAGGTTAGTTTTTCAGGATGCTTTCTTGGCAGGATTGCCCTAAATTAATTATTAACTTCTTGTACAAGTTTCTCTGTAGAAATCCTAGAAATACTAGAGATGTAGGTGGATGGATGGGAATACTGCCCGCTGTTTAGGAAGAGAGCTTTCACTTCCGTCCAAATTATTAACGAACAAAAATCATCCTGATATAAAAGATAAACACGTACTCACATACAGTGAAACATTAGATATAACTTCAAGTACATACATGTAATGGATAATTTGCAAAAGTAATCAACACAAGGTGTTCTGTAAGACAACAGAAGATTTGCACAGGATTTTAACCAGTGCTTTCACCATGAGGAGTTACACACATGTCCTGTAGGATGATAGATCTTTAGATTCAAAAGATTCGCCCCCCATTTACCCAAAGGGAAGGAGCAGAGACCTAAATCCAAGCTATTTAAAATCAGGTGGCAAAATCCGCAACATTTGGGAATATAGCTTAGGCATTAAGACTACTTTAACAGGATTAGATTGACACAAATGATCTTTTCAGTGTTTGCTTTCAACAAAGTAACATAATAGTAATATTTACGATACCAAATTTCTATAAAATTGGAATACAGGGCCTATTCTAATGGAATCATGCTATTAATATCAGTCACATTATAATGTGGCTCATTGCTTGCATTTGCATCTGCAGATTTCTCAGTGGTTTGCCATACCTTAATACATATTCAAAATAAGAAGGGAGGGAGTGACTGAAACTGATGAAAATTCCCACCAAGTATTTCTGTACAAATATAGTAGGAACAGACTGTCCTCTACTTGAAATATTAAAAAGCATATTATATTAATAATTTAAAAGAACTGTTTAGTTCATCATTACTCTGTTTCACTCTTCCTGTAGTTTCTGCTATGGCCTTGGGCCTGCAACCACTACTGACTTCAGCAGGGCTGTGTACAGGCACAAAGTGTTTAACTTTATGGATCAAGTTATGGGATTGAGGCCTAAATGTAAAAGCTGCACGCTAATATTGTGCTAATATTACTATCTTACAATCTTTCACTGATCAAACCTTTTCAAAGTCATTTGGACATTGCATTATTTTGTACTCACAATCAGGAGGCATTTTTTCCGTAAACAGCTTGTAATATTCTTTTAGAAGTTCGAAGTTTTCCTGGTTAATGTTTTCCTGCAAAGTGGTATCTCCAAACCTATAAAAGAGCACAGTAAAATGATGGGGGGGGGGGAGGGGGGGGAACCAAACAAAAAACCCAACCCCAAAACAAAACTAAATTATCCTTCAGAATGATTTCTTTGCCTAAAGAAATAACTTTGATTTTTTTTTTCCCTAGTGTTGAATGTACTAGATTTTGTCAAACATATAGTTGCTAATCTCTCATGCACTTTGGAACTAATATTTGGGAATGAAGTCATCACTCATGGATAATTCTTCTAAAAACTTATGGACAAAGTAATCCATTTACAGACAAACATTCAATAAAGCACATACTCTTTTCCCCTTCACAGATCCTGAATAAATGCAAGGGCTCTTTGTGGGAATTTTAAATGGCACCACAGGCAGAGAGCACCAGCTCCTACATCTCTTACTGCTGCTGTTGCTTAGGTATATTAATTTCCACCAGAGCTGGACAATATTGAAGCCACACAAGATGGAAGAGATGCAAGCGTCATGTGGAAAACCTCCTGAAGAACTGAGTTCTGCTCTGGTCTGAGAATATTTGCTATAAATAGTCAAATTGATTACTTGTCTGGGCCCTTTCTGCCCTACACTGCTCCTGAGCTGTTAGTTATCTTGGTTTCTTGTATCTGAAACTAATGAGAACCATTTCCCTGCTGTTGAGCAGTGATTTCACCATTAGGCTCCACAGAGTTGTGACCCGCAGGCTAGCTGACTTCAGCTGTCTGCATTTCAGCTTGCTGCAGCACACAGACCTCAGCCGTTGCTCTACAGTGCTGCAGCTGGCCCAGGAGCGTGTTATGGGGTTTCTTGCAGCAGTCAAGTCTGCTGGGAACACATCACCCAAATCCTCATTATTCTGCATCTCATAGAAAACCCAGACAGCATCAGGATGTCATTACACTTATCCATGAACTGAGTATAGGTGTATGAGCAAATATCTTTCTACAACAGTGAAATTTCACACAGGCTAAAAAAAACCCAAAGAAACCCCTCTCCTGGTACCTCTACTAGGAGGGATATGAATGAATGTAAAGACAGGAATGTACCTTAGGCCGTTAGGGCCAAGTTTTTGCAACTCATCTTTAGAATAGCCTTGAAATGAAGAAAAGGAAGACAGAAAAGGAAATGGAGGAGCACAGAGAGGCATGGACAGGTTAAGTAAGAAATTCAGGTTATCAAATGGGGACACAAATCAGAAGATACTAAACGTACTTCTACATCATGCAGAAGGGATTCCAATATTTAAATGGGCCAAAGAGGGAAAAGACTCAGCTACTTCCTCAGTAGCCACTGCTGCACTGTCTCATGAGAATATTTCTTTTGAGCCAGTTATAGTCTCAACTGTGCTTTATTAAAAGAAGAGATGTTTGCATCTAATAAAGTAACATTATCTAGAAATTTATCACAAAACCTTATTTCTATTCTCATATTCATCACCCCACAAAAAAAATACTTTTTACCAAAAAGCATGTGCAGTGTTTCCAATCTCAAAGACAAATGTGCGGCTTTAGGAGCTAAGCAATATTTTGAATAAAGTCTAACGTTTGTACCTGTAAGTGCATGTGGACAAGCTGTTTCTGCATGGAATAATCCAACTTTATTTGCTTAATATATATCTCTATCTATATTTATATATACATATATATTAATTTTTCATTCATGGCTTGCTTTGTGCACAATGTAAAATCACCAGTGTGAACAATGCTACCATTCTTCCTGCCACTCCACCTGCAAGCCAGCTGTCTTTTTACACCAACTCCTCTACAAGTCCCCATATATCCAGGCTATTTCTAAATCTTGTCAAATCTTTCTTCAGGACATTTGTAACATACAGTCCTTCCTGCCTATCCCACCCACCTAAGCTTTCACAAACTTGCTTCTTGGTTACTGCATACTCCTTTTCTCTGATTTTGGAAAAACGTGATGTGTTCTAGTCACAATTGTCATGACCGATTTTGTTGGTCTTCTATGCTATCACTTTGGCTATGTCACTCCTCTCATAGCATCACTTTTCCCTTCTTTATGGCATCAAGCATAAGTTGTTTTCATTATCAAGAATGTTTCAAGTTCCCTAACCAACTACTCGACTCTTTCACTACTAAAATGCCAGTTTTTACTGTCTTCTGATTCGGCCTATGTCTCCCACTTCAATTTTCTACCTTTTCTCACACATCACCACTCACAACTCTTAGAAGTCTCCCATAAACATCCACAAAGCTACCTGATGGCATTCCTTACAAGTCTTCCTTAAAAGACTCCTTTTACTCTGCTGTCTACAAAAAGCAGGATGTGAAACTCCTATTGTGCTTAACTTCTTGACTATTGTCCAGGTTAATGGTTTTTCACTGTCTCCCTCTGTTTCCCCAGCTACACTTTTGCTTTTGAGTTTGTAGGAATGCAATCTAAAGATATGTATTATGTCTCTTGGTTGCTCTGTTAATAAAACCATTAAAAAAAAAAAAGAAGTAGCTGTCTCATTGTTTTGTTGATGTCTACCTTGCAGTTTTAGCATTGCGCAAACTTGGTAATTTAAGATGACCAACAGATACCCTTCTCTTGGAAGATAAAATTAATAGGTTGGTAAAACTTTGACTATTATTGTACTAATTAATTAGTTTCCAGCAATCCTTTCAGAGGAGTAATATTAACATATCAGAACTTTAACATCAGCCTTCATGTTTCTACAAACATACTAATGCATTCCCTATTATTAACTACCACTCCTCAACCCTGGAAAAAAGCCCTAAAAAGCTGAGAAAAATGATCTCTTTCTAGTTTCTGACTTGTCCAGCATCTTCTAGCCCACCTTTAAGATAATAATAATTTCAAATTTTCAAACTCACATTTGAGAAGGCCAAAGTACTGTATATAAACAAACTTCTACATATGTGGAACATAAATCCATTTTATATCTGTGTCCAAAGGAAACCTGGTGTTCACAGGGTGAAATAAAGTCCTGCATATCGTCACATCTTCACTTGGACTTTTTTGCTATTTTGCATTGCTTAATAGCTTGTGCTCATTTCCTTTAATATTTTTTAAAATACACACCAAGTCAATGTGAGATGGTCCAAGAGCAAATAACAAAAATGATTTATTTGTAATCCTGAGAGATATCCTGTACTAGCACAGCATACTTGGACAGAAAATGAAACATGATTTTTTCTTACCTCTCTGCAAGTGTTTGCTGTTCATTGATTCCAACATTAAAGAGTACTGGATACATGCGAAGTAGCTTTCCTTCTTTAATCTCTTGTGGCAGCAACTCAAACATTTTTGCTGGAAGCTGGACCTCTATAACGTAATGTTCACTAGGAAAAATAAAAAGAAGAATAAGGACGGAAATATTGATTGGTTTGCTTGAAATTACAACCTTCCTTAATTATAGAGAACATGTAGACTTATAAATCACTTCCCCCTTTTTCCCCTTAATTGTATTGAACCATAAAATGTGATGATTTAGCTTGCTTGTTTTAACAGCATAACCAAGCTATATGGAAAAAAGGCAGATATATATAATTATACACTCTTGATACTGACTTCTTTACTGAAGTGAAAATAGGACTAAAGATGAAAGCAGTAAAAAAGTCTTCTGCTATCAAATATCAATGAAAACACCTCAGCGTTGAAAATGCATCTCACTGAGTTACAAAAAAACAACTTCCTTTCAGAAGTCACAACTTGATCCTGTACCCAGTCCAAATGTAATATGAGCAAAAACCTTTCAGAAAAAGCCAAAGCAAAATTCCCATTTTCTTCAGTGGCTGGATTTTCCCCTGGGGATAGAAAGCATCACCCATAACAAAACTGACTCTGTGAAGATAATAATTGAAGGCTCATTACACAAACACGAATCCTATTTTAGGAGAAGGTGTATGATATGTAGCAGTTCTGGTTTTATGTTTGTGTTTGGTCTGACTTTATGAAAAACATGTTACTTTGGCTGCCAGTCCGAATTCTGATCATGTGGAACCCTCAAGCTGAATTTCACCTGTCTTTGAGGATTGATGCCTGACCTCACAACAGAAACAACCGCATACTGTTAACTTAGTTTTTAATTAGCTTGCTTTCTGTTATTAGAGCAATCAGTCTAATAAAAAACAACAGACTAGAAGCAAATCCATTTGTCTCCAGGATTTGGCATTTTAATCATTCAAAGAGGGCCAACTGATAACAAAGACTGAAATTTTCTCTCCTGCAGAGCACATTTGGTACACCACCAAGAAGAAAGAGTATTATAGCAACAGCAGGAAGAAGGATCTATATCCTACCTACAGAGACCAGGCCTAGAAAGTCACATAACTTTTGCATGTAAACTTAAGATGGAAAACTGTTTGCACCTGTTAAAATAATCTATCAGGAAGTCCCTCCAACCCTTATTTTAATCTATCATGTGCTTGCTAAAGAATTAAAATACAATCTGGATTATGCCCGTGTAGAATTTGGGGGAGAAAAGGCAGGAAACCTTGAAGAAAAAGGGCAGTTTCTGCAGTAGCTCTGACCCCCTTGGCAAGCTGGAGGGATGAGTGGCACTATCTCAGAGTAGGTGTTTAGATAAACAGCTTCAGCTTAGAAGAGGTAGTGGTTGTGTGTGAACCTCTAACCCGCCCATATATCTGAGAACAAAATAAAATGGATCCAGTACAGACTTGTGACCAAAAAGTAAGTATATTCAGCCAGGGCAACAGCATATGCTTTGATACAGGCTAGAACTAGTGTGTAATCTTTGAGCAAATGCCAGGTGCTCCGAACCGAGGAGGGCTATCAGTTCTGAATAGTGGATATGTGTCTCAGGGAGGGGTGAGGGGTGGGGGAGGGAAGGAAAAAAAGAAATAGTTCTACTCCCCAAATAAGTCCATTTGGTTTGCATTTTGTTTAATTAATTCACCCATGTGAAGGAAATAGAGAGTTAGCAAGGATGACAGTAAAGAACTCCGTACAAATGATCCTTGCAACGCAGCATTGATTCTCAGCCTACACGTGAGCACTCCTAGCTGCTGTCAAGTGCTACCAGAACATTTTTCTGTGGTGGAGTGCTTTCACGAAGTTCAGAAGAAATGTTGGTTTAGTCTAATTCAAAGAGCATATGCAACTGAACCAAAATGCCATCAAATCACTGCATTGCTACATTTCACACCCCCAGAATCACTACCAATCTTTCACTGTGTGAAAGAACATTGAGAAATGCTGACCTTTAGACATGATAAATTTACATCAGTACTATGTGAGAGCTTCCCCTTTGTTCTCTTTTTTTTTTTTCCTTTCTTTTTCCAAGTATTTTTTTTTAAGTGTCAGAGATAATCCTTGGTAACTTTTAAAAATCTGTAACCAATTGCACAACGAAAACAACCCACTTCGTCTCATGTAAGTAAAAGGCTATCAAGCTGTGACAAAGAGCTGTCTAGAAAGTCTAGAAATGGTACTGAAGTCGGGTGGCAGGGGCGGGGGGGAAGACGAAAAATAATTCAAAGTACTGAAATCTGGAGGACTTGTTTGACATTAATTTACCAAAAAAACTTACAGGTCCTATGCTTCTATTTAAACAAGAAACAGTAATACAGCAGTAAATTTTATCACATGTAGTTTAGGTCCTATGCTTCTATTTAAACAAGAAACAGTAATACAGCAGTAAATTTTATCACATGTAGTTTTGCTCTTTTATGTTTAGACTCAGTGCAGAGAGACCAGGTGATTTTGGCATGAGATGGATAAGGTGGCTACTACGTTTTCCAATGAGAAGGAAAAATCAGTACATAACTTTTAACATTTAATGATGTCTCAGGAGAACAGGACGGAGAAATCCAGCATGTTTAAGAAAGTAAATAATAAATCATCATCTCTTTCAGAACAAGTTGTATAAATTTAGGTATTAAATATTTAAACATATATGATTTCACTAAAACAGGACTGCTTAAGAATATCCCTTTCTTTGACTTTATTTGCCTTATTCTCTAATATTTGTCATCATCACATGAAGATAGACAAATACTTGCAGTCCTGTCAGAAGGCTTCTAAAAATTATCCCCACACAGCTGTGGGCCACGGACCCTGCAGGTACTCGCAGCTGGCTGAAATTGTACACTCTTAGTTCATTGCAATAAACACAATTTACATGCACCTTTGCTTTGCAACAGAAAAGAAATGCACACATGGTCAGTCACTGCATCTCAGCTGGGAGGTGCTTTACCCAGCTCTTCTTTCAACTAAGTGACAACTTTTTAGGTCACTTCAATCTGGCTGTACATACTAGTCCAATCGTGGGCTTCGTTGAAAACATGGTTTCAAACCCTGTGATGCCTCAAAGCTCACGTGCACAATCAAATACATTCTATCAAAGAATTTTATAAGAGTGTTAACTATTTTTGCCTATAATAAAGAACCTGAGTGTCTGAACAGAACTTCACTGCACCTGGATGGTCAGGGTCAGCCACCCACATCAGCAGGTTAGCGCACTGCTAGTCAATGCCATGCTCTTTGGATTCCTTTGTTTGTGTACACAGAATCTCAGTCTTAAGCGCTTCCCTAGAAAAACAATTACAAGTGAATACTCTGACTCTGCAAGATAATAATTTGCAGCTTAATTTTCTGTCTTGCATTTCTGCAGTCTTTTAGTCTCATTTCATTGAGCCATACCATATAACAACCAAAATGATATAAAAATTGTGGGGTTTTTAAACATTAATTAGAAAATAACTAGGTTTTCCACTGTCTTCTCTTTTTATGGTTGATTTCCAATGCTGCCTGATAGGAGCTGTCTCATCACAGCTTTAACAGGAATGGGGCTCCTCCACATAGGCCTTAAAGATTCTTTTTTTTTTTTTTGTCTGATTCCATCCAGTGAATACCTGCCAGTAAGTACAGTACAGCAAGCAATCACAGGCAGTAACTCTTCTTCCTAAAGACTGACTACTCCATCAATCCAGAATGCCTGAGGCAGCTTAAAGCTCAAGCCTCTTTCAAACCCAGGACCTCCTACTGTGACAGTTCAGTGTGCTGCAGTAATGGCAGCAAGCCGGTAAATGCAGCTGCTGGATTTTTCAAGATTTTTGACTGCTATGATTTACAAAGGATGTATTTCTTCTGTTTTATCTACACACCATAATTATTCTTAATTATTCCTGATGTGTTGCTTATCATACTCCGGCCTTCCTGCTATTTATTTCAATCCTTTCTCAGAAGGCCCATAGGATGAGAGTGAATCATCCAGAATAATTAAGTAAATCAGTGGTGAAAGCCCCCTTCAGAGGAAACATATCTTTTGTAAAAGTTGCTGCTTTTAGCTGAATTTAATTTACAGTCATCTTAAGAATAATGATACTATTAAGGAAGTTATTTCTGCAAAAGTAAAAACATTTGGAGCTTCAGACTAGAATAATAATGAAGATGAAAAAGCCATTCCTCCTGTGTAACAATCTTGTTAACCCTCTTATCGCCTTCAATTAATGAAGTACTTCAGTTTATGTCCTGCTATTCAGCAGTGCTTATGTGAGATACATAATGTATTAGTGGCTTTATGCAAGGATTTCTGAGGTTGCCTATGTCCTGCGTGATCTTCAGCAACTAAGATAGGCTTCATTTTACAAAAGTGACCACTAAGTTTGTCATCCAAGTTTTTCAGTTTCCATCTTAAGACAATCAAGGCCTAACTCTTAGAAATGTAATTTCATTTGTCACACTGAGATACTTGTTCTGGACACATCAGAAACAAGGTTTCTTCAGTTAGAGGCCACTTTTGTAAGTACTGACCTTGTCACTTCTCTTTGATTCAGTATCTATATTTGAAAAATGCAACAGAAACTCTGCACAACCCAGACACTGTTTTTATTAATTTGTATTACTACAATTGGAACTTTTAGCTTTTCATCAGGAAAGTAACCCAGAGCCCATATTACTACTAGCTTTACAAATCCCTATGACCTCATTACATCTCCATTCACTTCATAAGAAGTAAAACTACTGCACTTTCCATACAATAAGACTCAACAATAAGAAAACCATTATCTGGATTTTCATGTGCTACAGATTAAAACTACATGCGATGGGCTCCAGGAAATGAAGTTCTTACCGCCTTCCAGTTATAACAGGCAAAAAATCTTCTGATTTGGCTTCAATGACTTTAAACATTACTTTCTGCAAATCTGAAATTCCCACAGCCATGTCTTCCAGCATCCCTGCTTCTTCACCTATACGGAAAGATTACAGTTTATTAACAGAGTAGACAGATCAGTCACTGAACAGGTTATAGTAAAACAATATGGGATTATATTTTCCAGTTTGTGCACCTAAAAATCGCAGCCCTAAATCCACATTAAAGTAACCTAAATAAAAGCAGACTGATTTTTAGAGCTGCTGACGATTCTGTGGTCTAAGTGATAACTGCGAGTATTAAGCACCTCTGAAAATCAGCCTGCTCTATATGTGCATAGAATAACCTGAGAAAAGCCATTTTTGTCTATTCTGAAAGTGTTTTTAAAGACTGTCCTGCTGATGGAGGAGGACAAAGGTTTTGAGAATAATGATGAGTATCATGCAAAAGGGAGTCTGACAGCAATCTCCAAGTGAGGATCTGCAATTGCCTGTGCATTAGAGCTACACAAATGCTAAATCCCTCTACTTTGCTCAAAATCTCTAATTTAGGGAAGGATTCCAATACATCTAGTTCAAAGCCTTTTGAAACATATGGCAGTTGCTCCCACCAAATGTCCTTTTTAGTGCCTATCAAATGATGGCATCTGTAACAAGCTAGGAATCAAACAGTTTTCAAGCTATCTTCACATAACCAATACTGGTGTGGTCAGGGCAGAGGCTGATAGAGTCAGTAACTGTTTAAATCTGCTTTTTGGCCTAGCTATAAACCCGCTATTTTGGGTCAGGTCAAATGTCTATACAAATAGAGACAGTTTTTATTAAAACCAGAAGTTCCACTAGCTGTACTGAGGAAGGAGTCTCCTGTATTGAAGACAATATAGTTCAGCACTCTGCATGGAATAATTAGCAACTACTGTTCTCAGAGGAATTGAGAATAAAATAAATGAGTAATTTTTGATGCAGAATTAACAACACAGTATCAATGACTTCAACATATGGAAGTCTATGGTCTCATAAGGATAATATTTGTTGATTCAATAAGCCGAATTACCGGAAGCAGAACAGAGGTTAAAATAAGAACCTCCTGGGTAAACTTCTGGTCCGGATGCATAAGGAACTTTGTCCAAGAACAATACTTACTATACGTACTAAGGAGTCCTTCATATTGCACAAGCAATCCAACAGTATGAAGCTGTTGTAAAAATCCTTGATCATGTAAACCTGTGTGCAATTTGATTATAAACCCACAGACCAATCCAGCGAGCTATAAAGACAACGAAAAAAATCTGAAATTAACAGATGTACTGTTATAACATAGTTAAAATGAGGCTTGCTATCATTATACACAAGTAATATTTAGATATTTGGGGAAACAGCATAGCTATTTCTGTTCAGTGACTACATACATAATTGGATATTAATATATTATTGAGGCTTTTTTTAGTATAAAAGCAGTGAGATATTCCCTTACTTTACATTAGATAAGTTTCATTTGTTTTGTAGGGCTGTGTGTTACTTACACTGACATAAGCAAGACCAGAACCTCTGTTGGCAGACTATAAACACATAAGGCTGTGAATCATGATGGCTTTGAAAGCAGTTAGGCACCTAATGCAACTGAATCTCCTTGTCAGTTGAACTCTAACACCTTAATTATGTTAGGAACAACATATAACTTAAGGGAGAAATTAAATGAATCATTTAGAGAAAAATCTATCTGGAAAACATGATCTACAGGAGAAGATCAAAAGAACTTCAGTTATTTACCAAGAGAAGACAAGTCTGAGAAGAGACATGCTAGTAGTCTCCAAACACATAAAATATTGCTACAAACTGAAAACAAAAAATCTGTTCTTAATTTCCAAGGTGACCAGGAGAAAAAAAATACGTAGCTTGAACAGCAGCAAGGAATATTCAAAGCTCGACTTGAGAACTTCACCTACACGTGAGCATACTGGCATATAATGTAGGAAGACTAAAAATAGCTTTATGGATCCTTCTTTGTGCAAAAGGGAGATTAGGTAACCTTTTCAGTCCATTGCAGACCTACTTCTCTGACTTAGTGATACAGTTACTATGGATTTCCATTCACTATTAATTCTCTATCACATTATAAAATATTTAAGTGGATGTAACAGAAAATATATGGAAAAGTTGTGTTAAATTGGAAAAAAAACCCCAATAACAACAACCCCCCCAAAAAAACCCCCCCCCAAACACTGGCATGAATAGCATGCTTAATTACAGCAACAGTAGGAGATAAGTGACACAAGACAACCTACTGCTTGACTAAAGACGATGTCTCTTCTTAGGGTCAGCATCAAACATTGTGGCAAACCACAGGCAAGTTCCTGGAGCAGAACAAATGCCATCGATTGCTTCGCCCTGGTCACCACCTCTCCCATGCAGTCCTTCAGTGTAATCACCAGAGGATAAAGCTGTTCATACCAGTCACCTAGAACAAGACAGATCATCTGTTCCAAAACAGAAAACTTGCAGTGAAAACCCTTTTCAGAATGGAAAGAGGGCTGCAGTGGCTGCGTAGATCACCCTGCAGCTCTATCCTAACCATTGTGGTACAGCAAATGCAACCAGAGAATACGCTTAGAGGTAGGACTCCAGCTTATCATCAAGACTGGGGCTAAATCCTTCGCCTGAATCCAACTATATCCTGAAACAATGACTTTTTAACAGACCTAACTTCTCTGTAGAACTTGCATTGAAGTGTCATAAACAGGGATACATGTGAAAACTCATTTAGCACAAGATGAATACAGTGGAGATGAAGATCTCCTGTTCTTTCCAGCACTGACAACTTGCTATCTAAACAAATGAAGTACCATCAAAAAAAAAACCCAAAAAACCCGAACAGGGGGGGAAGAGCCTATATTGAAGAAAAAGTAGGTGCTGAAAGGCAAAACGGAAGAACAAATAGTTATCTGGAAGGATATTATCTATTTAATATATAGGCTGGAAAAATACTAACCTTCAGGTCACATTCCTTTTTCTTTTTATCTTCTCTCTATATTGTTCTCTTTAAATATTTAGAGATATTGAACTCATCATTTTTTTAGCTACTTCAAGCATAGAGATTTAGAACTACTTTGTGATATGTTTTGCTCTGTTAGAATACATTCCAGGGATATCAGAAAAAACAAGCTAGTGAAATGCTTGAAAAAATAGGACTCCTTAATACATTACAAATGAAACAAAGTGATAATCAGGAATGGAGGAAAATCAGAACAGCATACTCAAACTTGCCCAATTACCCAAGCTGTTTCTGAATTTTTCAGGATCTAATAAAATCAGACCTGAACTGTAGTTGCCTATGGTTTTGACTACCCAAGTTGAGAAAATTAAAAAAAAAACCAACCTCCAAACACCCTCGTTTAGAATCTACATCTCAGTTTCACTGTTATAGTTTAAAATGAAAGAGAAATCAACACTCCAGAAGAATCTATATAAAAATAGGGAGTGTAACTGACTTAGAGTCCATCGCTGACTCATATTTTCTGTAGATTAGTGTAATTAAGAATCAATGATAATTAAAATCTGTTTTATTTAAATTGTAATTAGGTGGAAGATAACAGCACATTGTTTCAGGTAACATTCTGAGTCAGGCCAATGAAAGACTCCTTAATACTGAAGAAGTTCTTTAGGCAGGAAGACATAGCTGCCTGTTGCAAAGTCAGTTTGTCTATGCTCCAGAAAAATATGTAAATGACTAAAACTGTAGCCAAGAAGACTGGAGAGAACTTTGAAAGACAGAAGAAACTGGGAAAAAAAAAAAAAAAAGGTGCAGGAAAGAGGAAATAGGAACAAGGACACAGCAGTCACAGAAAACAACTTGGGTTCCTTTGCAAGTAATGCCTTTGTGGTCAGATAACGTGTGTTTCAACACAGTCATACATATTTAAGTGTGAGTAATACAGACTGAAGAATTGTTCCTTGGAAAACAGCAGTTATGAAGATAGAGCCATTGTGAACAAAACAGAACATAAGCCATCCCCCAGTTTCATGCTCCAGCAAAAAGAGGTGATTTTATACATGCCATTGACTAAGAGACTACTGATACACTGTGTGCCAAGGTCTGGTGTACACATTTTAAAGAGACTGCTGAAAAAAATGGAGAGCTTACAGAGGAGAGCTACCAAGATTTAGAGTTTAATCTCCTTAAGCCTATGAAAAAGGCTGAGCATCAACTTGATTTCCCCTCTTCATGAGGAGAAGATAACAAGTACTAAGCGGGGATGTTTATTCTAGGGAATAAAAGCAAAAGAACCACCAAAGGCCGGAGACACAGCCAAATTTAGAAATAAGGTAGACAGCAAGGTTGACGTACTGCAAGTCAGACTAGACAGGCCAGACAATCTAAACTCTCCTTTCTAGTCTTAAATTACAGTAATTTATTAAATTAATCAATAAATAAATGCCAAGGAAAGCAACTGCAGCAGAAGGAGATTAAAAGATGTAATGCATACTAAACCAGTGAACAGGGCTGTATGTGATAAGAATAGAGTTTGTTGGCTGCTTCTGACTTGAGCAAATAATGAAAAAGATCATACCTGGCCACTTCAAAGTAAACCTGAGGGTACAGCTAATAGACATCTGTTCCACTTTCATGCGAAAGCAGAGCTGGATACATACACAGCCAAGGATCTTTGCAAGTACATTGACAGCCAGGGCAAGAGAGAAAAAGCTGAAGTTCTAGAACTAGCCACACTTTGTGAACTTGCTATTACAATTTCACGTTATGTGGATAGGGCTAAAGAGCTTTACTGACATTCTTTTTCATAAAAGAGGGGGGTCACATACTGGCCACAAGTCCTGTAACACTTAGATCTGTTTCTACTGAGCTGCCACTTAACCAGTCAATCCGCACTGTGTATTTTTGCTTCTTTAGGAACATAACTTTGTACTTGTTCTTACTCAACTGCATCCTAATATTTCAGTGCTCCATTTCATCAAGATCCATTCTAATCCTGCTCCCATGGTGCTTAAAGCCTCTCCCAGCTTTAAGCATCTGCAAATTTTATAAGCATCATCCATATTTCATAAGCCAAGACAGTAATGAAAATATTGAATAATACTGCACCCAGAAAAAATGTAAGTGGATTCTACTTCATGCAGCCGTCCAGGTTGGCAGTAAACAATGGATAACTACCTTCTATTATGATTTTCCAAATTATTTTGCAAATACCTTGTAGTAGCTTCAAGATAATTTTTTCACAAGGATTTTTTGGGGGAGACTACATGTTTGGAATACCAACTTACTAACATAAGTAATTTTTGTCAGTAATAGTTGCATTAAGAAGGAATTCAAAGATTTGAGATTGTCATGGCCATTTTTCCATTAAAGGACATTCATGCTAAATATATTAAAAATAAATCCTACCGAGCATTTAATGTCCCAAAGGATACAGTACTGTACTTACATATGTATTTTCCTTTGTAGAAAACAATAAAAGTTGTAAGTCTATAGGCATACTTACCCTAATGACTAAGGAAAGATAAATTATTTCATTACAGAATATAAATAGAACTGTAGTTGCCAAAAGGAAAGAAGATAAAACTATACCCTCATGCGATTAAGTTATCCATAACAATCGTTACTCCTTGCTTGCACTGAAAATTCTTGTTTACAATTAGTAAGGATGTCCAATCCCCAGAAGGTGGAGCTAGTTAGCAAATCTAAAAGAGCGATTGCATTGTTTCTTGAAAACAGAGTATTTATGAATGGACTAGTATATTCTCATGTTTGTTCTTCTATTTTAAAGCAAGTTTAGTGTGTTAAGATCAAAATAAGAGGTGTATCACAGCCTGAGGTCTCAGAAAAGACAACTCTAAAAAAGAAAAAAAATCTATATAGCTGCTCAGTCCTTGGTCTGTTAAAATCGTCACTTGTTACACAGGATATCCTGTTGCAAATACTCCAGCAAGAATATAAATCACGGTCATTCATTAACAATGCACAAAGCTCCAAATATCCAGCAGAAGCACTTATAGCAAATACCGCAGCTTTTAAGTTGCTCCTTGAAACTGAGAAGCACTGTGAAGCCGACGTTTATGAAACAAAAAGAGGCACTGTATTTTGAAGCTTACGAGCCAATTCAGTAGAATTTGGAGAACAAAATTGTCTTGTATGCAATGGATAAATATGGAATATTAATGAAATTCATAAAGAGATATTATTTGTAAAGGGAGCTTTAAAATCCTGGTCTAAATTCAGGTTTAGATGATCCTGATCTATCTTGCCACAATGTTGTTGACATGTGAGGATACTGCTTGGTTACGAGTCACTGCTTACACTTCCAAAAGAGTTTGGGAGAGGTGCAAGATGCCCTACAACAACTCCTTCATGAGAAAACTGGCAATCAGCTCAGAATCAGTTGTTGCTGTAAAGAAGATGCAGGGGGCCAACCATGGCTCAGGACCTGTACTCCTGCAGAGACTGATGATAGCTTTGTAGAATCACTTAGGAAAGGGAACAGTACAAATTACTGCTTTTGCGTTTAATGCATTCAAGGACTTGCACACATTTGACACTTCAGGTGTCAAATTTCTTTTAAGATAAAATTGCAAGATTTACATCCTCAACACAGCAGAAAATCCTTTGAAAAAGACTGAAGAATTAACTGAATGAGTAAACACCTCAAAAAAGACATTAGGAGCAAGAACATAAGCAACAGGGAGACTACAGGATGACTGTCAGGTCGCTCAAATGGTAATGGCAACCTGTCCTGTTTTGGAATATTTAGCATCCAAACAAAAGAGTCAAAGCCTACTGATGAAGCAAGGAAACTCAATTAAAAAAATTATGCTAGTCAGCCTTTGGAACGGTCTGGTGGTTTGACCCTGGCCGGGTGCCAAGTGCCCACCAAAGCCACTCTAGCACTCCCCTTCTCAACTGGACAGGGGAGAGAAAATATAACGAAAAAGCTCATGGGTCAAGATAAGGACAGGGAGATCACTCAGCAATTACCATCATGGGCAAAACAGGCTCGACTTGGGGAAAAATGAGTTTAATTTATTACCAATCAAAACTGAGTAGGCGAGAGGAATGAGAACATGTGTACGATAATGAGAAATAAAACCAAATCTTAAAACACCTTCCCCTGACACCTCCCTTCTTTCTGGGTTCAACTTCACTCCCAATTTTCTCTGCCTCCTCCCCTCTAGCGGCGCAGGGGAACAGGGAATGGGGGCTGGGGTCAGTGCATCACACGTTGTCTCTGCCGCTCCTTCCTCCGCAGGGGAGGACTCCTCACACTCTTCCCCTGCTCCAGTGTGGGGTCCCTCTGCTCCAGCGTGGGGTCCCTCCCACGGGGTGCAGTCCTCCACGAACTTCTCCAACATGGGTTCTTCCCACAGGCTGCAGTTCTTCACAAAGTGTGGGTCCCTTCCATGAGGTGCAGCCCTTCAGGAGCAGCCTGCTCCAGCGTGGGTCCCCCG